GTAAGACAGTGACAGCAATTTAATTTGGCACCAAGTAGACTAGGAATTAACTGTTTCAGTGCTAATTGAACAAGACTGTGATTAATCAGCAGAATAAATGTTTGCGGAACATGAGTATAATCATAATAAAAAAAAAGCCTATGCAGGCTGGTGGAGAGTGTGCTAGCAGGGAATTGCATAGATTCATCTGAGGGCCCATTCAGCTTTCAGTTTGCCAACAAAGGGAAAGTAAGTTTATTTTTAAAAATCCTCTCATAATACATAACTAGAGGGGTTTTACGTGTCTGATAATCTTTTCAAACTTTGTCCGTTACATTCTGCTGGGAGGCTTGACAGAGATTATGGAAAATGATGAATTTTCCATACTGTGCATGTGGAAGGAGATCACTTTCTGGCTTATATATCTGCTTGCAAACATAGTCTGTGACAGCCAAGATATTTTACATTGGTATTTTCAGTAAGGACATGCAATATGCCACATTATTACCAAGGATATTCAAAAATAAGCTCTGCCATCCTTTTGTCCAGCCTTCTTTTCTAGGACAGTAATGATTTTTCACAAACATGAAAGGGTGTGGTGTAGATAAATATGTTAGTAGAATGGCAACTATATTTTTATCTTTACTGGAAAAAACTATGTGGATATAATGAATATGTGGGAGTGATGAATACCATTTATTACACAACTTGTCATGACTTTTTCCAAACCCTAATTATGGGGTAACTTATTTTCTGCAGTGTGTTTACTGGATTGGCTTGATTGTCTTGGTTCATGTACAAAATATAACACATTCATTTCCAAGATGAATAACTTTGTAACTTATTAAAAACTTCTTTTGTCTAGGGGATAAAAAAAATTCAGGAAATATTGCAAACCATTAGTCACTGTAACAAGCTCTAAATATGATTAGAAAATCCATTTTGCAAGTGTTATCTATTGATTTATACTAGAAATCTGTGATAACTAAACTATAAGGAGTCATCTGCTGATTACAGCAGCTATGCTGGTTTTCTAATCATGTTGAAAATGTGTACATGTGGAGCAAATACAGAAAAGCCTCAGCAGATCTGTAGTTTAAGCAAAAAAATAACATTTTTCTGGTGTTCAGCCATGTTCAAATGGTTGTTCTGAGTTAACACAGAGTGCATAGGCAGTAATCAGATTTTTAATTTTATAACCTGATAGCTGTAATCTTGGTGGATCTTCCATGACAAAAATGGCAGCAATGCAAGATTAGGTCTATTGTATTCTCCCATTGTGTTGGTTGCTCTGCTAATTCAGTCACATATTTCATGTAAATTGCATTTTTTCCTTAAATCCCTTGGTCCTTAAAGTCCAGTTTTGAAAAGTGCTACAATAGCTGAAGTCTGTCTACCTCAGCAGCAAAACTGCCTTCAGATGTTGCTCTTTGTCATTTGTGAAGTGGCTCTTTGCACACTTCAGTTATGCTAATTGTGGAGCCACACTGTAAATCAGGATTTTTAAATGACCTGGATTAAACATAGGTCTCCATCTCTTTTTTGGAGTGTTAATATGGAATATTTCAATGATCTGTTGCATAATGCTACCCTTTAGAGAGATGCAGCTGCAAACAATGTCACAAGTGGGAGTTGAGGAGGGAAGAAGTGGACTTTTCACAGGCAGCTTCAATGCCACAATGCCAAAGCTTCAGGGGACCACTGAAAATAAGATTTTTTTTTTTTTTTTAAATATAAAAAGTAAATTAAGTGATAGGCATAGCTATAGAGTTTCAGGATACAAACCAGCTACTTCACTCTACTTCACTCATTCACCCTAGAAAAATATTGGTCATATATATTTAGCTTTATTATATGAAACATTTGATTTAGAATAGAAGGGAGCAAGTCTCAACTTTTAGCCCTCGTGAGTTATAATGTCCTGATGTGATGCTGCTTTTCTTTCCATATCTGGTTTGTTACAATCAATAGTGCCTGTGTGGTACAGCTATCCTATGACAATCAGATGACTACCACCTTAATCTTTTAAGTTCCATCTCTGAGTCAGTTAAGATGAAAGAATCATAGAATCATAGAATAGCTTGGGTTGGAAAGGACCCCAAGGATCATTAATTTCCAACCCTCTGCCACAGGCAGGGCCACCAACCTCCAGATCGGGTACTAGACCAGACTGCCCAGAAAGACATCTCAGAGGAGAAGAAATGCATAAGATCTTAGACACTACCTGAACTTAATGTCCAGCAGAAGTACAATCTGAACTGTAAAGTGGTAATCATAAGGTTGCTTGTCTCCTGATACATTTATTTTTTATGATCTTTCCCTAAGACTGATAGTGAGAATCTCAACTTTTTAATGTTTTGGTCTCCTATGACTCCCTCAGAAATTTGTACCCTGCTAGGCTTTAGACCTCTCAGAAAGCAGACAGCACATGCACATGCAAATGCTATTCTCATATAATCTCAATTTAAGACAAGTTTGAATCGATCAACTTGTTGGTGTTTTAGAATTATTGTTCTAGAATTGAGGTTGGTAGTATTAGATTGTGTTGCAAAATATCAAAATATTCTAGATTTGTGTGCTTTATAACAGAATGCAAAGCTTCTGTATGTCACCTATACAACTTTAGTTGTAACTGTGGACGTACTTTCAGTCCTTAAGGTGGAAATAAATTAGATTTTGAAAGTCTGTTATCTACTAAAAGATTTGATAGTTTTTTTAAGGTCTTGGTGAAGCAGTTGACACCAAGTCAACTTTTTTTTTCTTATACATCAGATAAACTTTTAGAGCACCTAAGGAAAAAAAAGCCATTAATTTGTATGAATAATAGATATATGCCTTGGGAGCAATATTGAATATTCATGAATTGTGTTTATATTTGAGCAGCTCTTCTAACTCTTTTAAAATTAAAGTGCTGTGAATGTGGTTTGGCAATAAAGACTTTAATACTAAAACCATCTGAAAGCACAGAAAAAGAATCTGTGACTTTGTTCCTTTGCTTTGTCAGGCACCTCTGTTTTTTTCTTTAGTCATTTATATTTATTTAAATGTTATTGTTTTGTGAATTTTCTTTTTATAAGTGTTGCCATAACAGCTTGATTTCTCTTCCTGTGCTTAACTACTGATAGAATAAAAGGATGTCTTTTCATGACTATTGCTTTTAAAGCTATCATGAACATCAGAGCTTCCCTTCTGAAGCAGTATAATTTTAGGCAGTATCAAAATGTCACTTTTAAAGTTAGACTCTAAATGTTGTAAAGTAAAACTTTCAGCTGCTTTCTGAGTTATCTTAAAAAGGAATGTCTCCTTGCAGAAAGTGCAGCTGATTATGTGACTGCTAGGAACAAGAACAAAGATGGCCTTACCCTAGGTGAACTCAGCTCAGGCTAGAAGATGTTCCTAAGGACTTGAAAATGTGATGCTTGATATTAGCAAATTAAACCACAGAAGAGTGGGGAGTCCTTCACAGTATCCATCAAGATGTATTCGGTAGCTCCACAAGTAAACGCAGAAAGCCTCTATAGCAACAGAGTGCATTTCCATTCTGCAGGAGGAAGTGTTGGACTTCTGCAGATTTGGGAAGCGGAGGTAGGAAAGCGATCTCTCTGGATATAAACTACATAGCACTGAAATTGCTCTTAAGGAAGCCATTTTGTAGCTTAGTCAAATAGCTTTTGGTTCAGGGAACCACATATATCATGTCTGGTGCTCATAAAATAGTTTCCAAATACTTCCAATAAATAAATAGTAAAAAGAGTTTGAATATGACAGAGTAGTTTTTTTTTGCAAGTAAACTGTACTGGCTGTTAAGAAGTTTTAGTTAGCCAAGTAACAGAATAAAGGGATCAATTTCTAATAAAAAACCAGATATTTGAAATCAGTGTATCAAAATATCATTAAAATAACTGAAAATTGCTTTAACAGACATTAATTTTATTTGAGGTTTATTCTTCAGTTTATGTTATACATGCAGCTATTTTGGAGCTCAGGGCAAGTGACAAGCAGCAGTTAGCAGGCAAATACTCAGCTGTGTGAAAACTCCATCGGCTTTTCCTTTATTGACAAAATATTGATCCATAACACTATTAATGCTATGATTGTCAGTTCAATTTGGATAGATCACTTTACCTCTCCTTTCTCAAACGGCAAAGATATTACCCAAAAGGAGTGACCTGATTTGAGTTTAAGAAGGTTAAAGGTTAAAGGTTAGCTCAAAAGCATCATCTGCCTAGCTGCTTAACTTTAAACTGATCAATTTAATGAAAATCTGTTTTGCAGATGGAGTTTTAATGTCTTTGGCAGGATTTAGGCAGCTTTAACATTAGACGTATGCTAGTAAAAATTATTTCTTTATTTGACCAGAACAACACCTTTTCTTTTATGTTTTAAGGTAAAAGGCATGTGGGATATGGTATTTTGGCAAAAGACCCAGAAGCAGAAAGTGTTGATGATCTTTCCATATGGGCTCAAAAACAGAATACCTTTATGTCTATTGCTAACGATGACTGAAGAAACAAACAAAGCTGCATTCATTTTTTACCATAATGTTTTACTTTGAAACCACAAAAAAGAATTTCAGGCTAAACTGTCCTTGAAAAAGGTTTGTCTTCTTTGCCTAGGGTGGAATGCAACGGTATTCACATTTTTAACCTGGCAGACCGAGCTGATTGTCTCTTTTAAATCTTATATTTGTAGATCAGTAGTGTTCTTTTTTTCTGCTTGCAAACCAAGTAGTAATTGTGTTACTTAACTGCAGATACCATAAATAATAAGGCAAATTAGTCAATCCAAATGGTAAATTTTATCTGATGGAGGTTATCCGAATAAACAAAGCATTAGATCCTCAGGAGTGTAAAGCAGAGCTTTGTGTTTATGTCTTCTGAGAATCTGGCCCTCACAATTTTTGCCAAGATAATTAAGTTTCAGCACAAGCATGTCTTTCTATTTTCAGATCTATGCAATTCAATAGGAATTTCTTGGGCTGCTAATGCAATACTATTATATGTTAGCTTTGTAATTAGCTA